GTTCTGTAGAGACGCACGGACTGTTCTGTAGAGACGCACGGACTGTTCAGTAGAGACGCACGGACTGTTCAGTAGAGACGCACGGACTGCTCTCTAGAGACACACGGACTGTTCAGTAGAGACGCACGGACTGTTCTGTAGAGACGCACGGACTGCTCTGTAGAGACGCACGGACTGTTCTGTAGAGACGCACGGACTGTTCAGTAGAGACGCACGGACTGTTCTGTAGAGACGCACGGACTGTTCAGTAGAGACGCACGGACTGCTCTGTAGAGACACACGGACTGTTCAGTAGAGACGCACGGACTGTTCAGTAGAGACGCACGGACTGTTCTGTAGAGACGCACGGACTGTTCTGTAGAGACGCACGGACTGTTCTGTAGAGACGCACGGACTGTTCTGTAGAGACGCACGGACTGTTCAGTAGAGACGCACGGACTGTTCAGTAGAGACGCACGGACTGTTCAGTAGAGACGCACGGACTGTTCTGTAGAGACGCACGGACTGTTCAGTAGAGACGCACGGACTGTTCAGTAGAGACGCACGGACTGCTCTGTAGAGACGCACGGACTGTTCTGTAGAGACGCACGGACTGTTCTGTAGAGACGCACGGACTGTTCAGTAGAGACGCACGGACTGTTCAGTAGAGACGCACGGACTGTTCAGTAGAGACGCACGGACTGTTCAGTAGAGACGCACAGACTGTTCTGTAGAGACGCACGGACTGTTCTGTAGAGACGCACGGACTGTTCAGTAGAGACGCACGGACTGTTCAGTAGAGACGCACGGACTGTTCAGTAGAGACGCACGGACTGTTCAGTAGAGACGCACGGACTGTTCAGTAGAGACGCACGGACTGTTCAGTAGAGACGCACGGACTGTTCAGTAGAGACGCACGGACTGTTCAGTAGAGACGCACGGACTGTTCAGTAGAGACGCACGGACTGTTCTGTAGAGACGCACGGACTGTTCTGTAGAGACGCACGGACTGCTCTGTAGAGACGCACGGACTGTTCTGTAGAGACGCACGGACTGTTCTGTAGAGACGCACGGACTGTTCAGTAGAGACGCACGGACTGTTCAGTAGAGACGCACGGACTGTTCTGTAGAGACGCACGGACTGTTCAGTAGAGACGCACGGACTGTTCAGTAGAGACGCACGGACTGTTCTGTAGAGACGCACGGACTGTTCTGTAGAGACGCACGGACTGTTCTGTAGAGACGCACGGACTGTTCAGTAGAGACGCACGGACTGTTCAGTAGAGACGCACGGACTGTTCTGTAGAGACGCACGGACTGCTCAGTAGAGACGCACGGACTGTTCTGTAGAGACGCACGGACTGTTCTGTAGAGACGCACGGACTGTTCAGTAGAGACGCACGGACTGTTCATAGAGACGCACGGACTGTTCTGTAGAGACGCACGGACTGTTCAGTAGAGACGCACGGACTGCTCTGTAGAGACGCACGGACTGTTCTGTAGAGACGCACGGACTGCTCTGTAGAGACGCACGGACTGTTCTGTAGAGACGCACGGACTGTTCTGTAGAGACGCACGGACTGTTCAGTAGAGACGCACGGACTGTTCTGTAGAGACGCACGGACTGTTCAGTAGAGACGCACGGACTGCTCTGTAGAGACGCACGGACTGTTCTGTAGAGACGCACGGACTGTTCTGTAGAGACGCACGGACTGTTCAGTAGAGACGCACGGACTGTTCAGTAGAGACGCACGGACTGTTCAGTAGAGACGCACGGACTGTTCAGTAGAGACGCACGGACTGCTCTGTAGAGACGCACGGACTGTTCTGTAGAGACGCACGGACTGTTCAGTAGAGACGCACGGACTGTTCTGTAGAGACGCACGGACTGTTCAGTAGAGACGCACAGACTGTTCTGTAGAGACGCACGGACTGCGCGGGAAAGTCGAAGGGGAGGAGCAAGAGCGGGAAATCGACGCCCACAGAAGATAACCTTTGCTCACCCTTCCCTTTGGGACGTTTGTGCAGCAACCAATCAGAGAGTTGCAAAGTGGTCACGGGGACATTAGTGGTCTGAGCGAGAAGACTGAAAATACTGTAAACAGCCAAAACAGGAGCTACACCTCGACTTAAAACCAGGGTTGACACTGGGGGACATAGTGCTTGTGAACATATGCGTTGTGCTTCGAGTGTGTTCTTGATGCGGAAATACTGTTTAATAATAAAATAAACTTATTGCGCACCTTCGTGAACACATACTGCTGTTATATAAAGTCACCTCCGTGAAAACATACTGCTGTTATATAAAGTCACCTCCGTGAACACATACTGCTGTTATATAAAGTCACCTCCGTGAACACATACTGCTGTTATATAAAGTCACCTGTGAACACATACTGCTGTTATCAGATTCAGATTCAGATTCATTTATTTGCCATTTGCAGTAAAACCACATTGGAAAAACTGTGCAAGACTACCCCGGTGTGCGCCAGACAGAGAAGACGACACACACCAGAGCTCTTGCCACGGCGCCATCTTTACGGCGCCATGCGACAAACAGTAGAATAAACAGCAGAGAGCAATAACATACAGTTTCACAGACAGTTGGATAGACACATTGTGCCTTGTATAAAGCACGGATTTTTTCTCGGGATGAAGCACCTCCTACAGCCGGCCCAATGTGGCTGTCAGAGGGGGGCGGGGTCAGGGAGGGGGGTGAGTCGGAAACACAGTGAGGAGTGGAGGGGAGGGAGGGAGCAAGATGGATAGAGAGGGAGGCGGGGGAGACGGGATCCGAGCTGGAGACTGAAGTGTGAGATTGTTGTAGATGGGGACCTTTTTGTTATTATGGCCTTGGCCCGAGGAATGTGAGATAAGAGTGGAGAGAAGGCACAGACACAGCAGGAGAAACACATCGCCTCAGGGGGACAATATTAAATGCAATGTCAGGCAGATATTCTATTAAATCCAATTAAACCGAATTGCGGCGCCCTCAGACCCCGTACACAGGGGCAGATCCAAGCCGGGTCAGAGAGTTCAAGCCTGACACACAATGTCATTCAATCTCAACTCCAGAGTCTTATGCCCATCGAGTGAACGAGCTGCGAGGTCTTTAACCAACTGTTCCACCAAAACCACTCTCCTTTGTCCAGACACGGCACTCTCAACCACGACGCGGCTAAGCTCCTTGTACATCCCATCAATTTTGTTGGCCAGCAGGTCGTGAATCTTGCGAACTGCCATGCCTCCGAATTTGTGGTAGAAGAGAACAGCTCCAAAGCTAAACAGGAGGATTCCCACCACCAAAATGCCAAAGATATATACGTCTTCCGAATCTTCAATGGACAGGGTCGACAGACAGAGGGGCTGAAACTTGTTCCAGCTGTCAAGAGTATACCCCGCTGGTGAAGTCCCGTCCGGGCACACGGGCTCTCCAGACCCACGCTTACGTGTTGAAAAGATAACCCTATATAAAGTCACCTCCGTGAACACATACTGCTGTTATATAAAGTCACCTCCGTGAACACATACTGCTGTTATATAAAGTCACCTCCGTGAACACATACTGCTGTTATATAAAGTCACCTCCGTGAACACATACTGCTGTTATATAAAGTCACCTCCGTGAACACATACTGCTGTTATATAAAGTCACCTCCGTGAACACATACTGCTGTTATATAAAGTCACCTCCGTGAACACATACTGCTGTTATATAAAGTCACCTCCGTGAACACATACTGCTGTTATATAAAGTCACCTCCGTGAACACATACTGCTGTTATATAAAGTCACCTCCGTGAACACATACTGCTGTTATATAAAGTCACCTCCGTGAACACATACTGCTGTTATATAAAGTCACCTCCGTGAACACATACTGCTGTTATATAAAGTCACCTCCGTGAACACATACTGCTGTTATATAAAGTCACCTCCGTGAACACATACTGCTGTTATATAAAGTCACCTCCGTGAACACATACTGCTGTTATATAAAGTCACCTCCGTGAACACATACTGCTGTTATATAAAGTCACCTCCGTGAACACATACTGCTGTTATATAAAGTCACCTCCGTGAACACATACTGCTGTTATATAAAGTCACCTCCGTGAACACATACTGCTGTTATATAAAGTCACCTCCGTGAACACATACTGCTGTTATATAAAGTCACCTCCGTGAACACATACTGCTGTTATATAAAGTCACCTCCGTGAACACATACTGCTGTTATATAAAGTCACCTCCGTGAACACATACTGCTGTTATATAAAGTCACCTCCGTGAACACATACTGCTGTTATATAAAAGTCACCTCCGTGAACACATACTGCTGTTATATAAAGTCACCTCCGTGAACACATACTGCTGTTATATAAAGTCACCTCCGTGAACACATACTGCTGTTATATAAAGTCCGTGGAAGGTCTCTGAACACAGTGACCCTGCAGAGCTGCATTATTGGAGAAGCCGCTAGCATTACTATGTTAGCATCAGAGCCGGCCGGCTACTTCCGCTACTTCCGGCGCTGGCCAGGACGTTCTGGTGTAAAGTCCCGTGCGTCTGAAAACTAGAGAATGTGTGTGCGTTTGAGCGTTTGCGGTCAAGATTCAAGATTCAAGATTAATTTATTATGTCCCGTAGGAAATTTGTCTTGGACTCACAAGCTGCTACAATGAAAATACACATAAGACAGTCTGACAGTCTGAAAGCACCATAAGACACAGGTGAGACACATGAAACACACTCTGACATTATAAAGGGTTACATTTGTAAACACACACCTGCACACTCTCGATGCTGGTTAGTTATAAGGAAGATGAGGTTTTGAGGACAGTACAGTTCATGTTTGTGTCTCTGGTGCAGGTGTGCAGTGCTGAGCAGCCGGGCCCTGGCGCCCACAGGCCCTGACTCGGGCCCAGACTCGGGTCCTGACTCGGGCCCAGACTCGGGTCCTGTCTCGGGCCCTGAGCTGGACATGGGCAGGAGCTGTGAGAAGAGACTCATCTCTCGTCATGGGGCTGAGGTCCAGGACTAGTGGGGGGGAGAAGGGCCCCCAGCAGACAGCAGGGGAGCGCGATGGGGTCATGCTGTTGGCCCCTGGGAGGCCTCATCACGTGGGCTTTGGGCTCCTGGCCAAGACCCCCTTAAACTATGAGCGGCCGCACAAGAAGAACAACCTGCGCAGGAGGAAGCTGCAGAACCTGCTTTATGATGCTCTGGAGCGACCGCGAGGCTGGGCCCTACTTTACCACGCCTTCGTGTGAGTCCCTCTCTGATGACATCACTGTGTGTGTGTGTGAGAGAGTCCCTTTCTGATGACATCACTGTGTGTGTGTGTGTGTGAGTCCTTCTCTGATGACATCACTGTGTGTGTGTGTGTCCCTCTCTGATGACATCAGTGTGTGTGTGTGTGTGTGTGTATTGCTAGTCCCAATGCCCACACTGCACCCTACACACCTCTACGAAGTGTGCATGTGTCTGAAGTGCACACATGGTTGGAGTGCGCAGGTTACAGCACAAAAGGCGGAATTGGGACAGTGCACTGAGTGCAGGTTACGTCATCGACTCGTCAAGAGATGGTCATTTTCAGACCTAACTTTATAAACATTAAAGGTAATTTTGTCTGACCCTTTGGGAAACAAAATTAATTGCTTCACAAACGTTAAAATACATGTATATTAGTTGTTTTTAATTAGAGATAGCTGTATAATTTTAAGTTAACCCTCTATGCACATGGGTCATTTTGGGGAACTTTCCTCGCCTGGTTTCCTTTGTGTATAATTGTTCATCTTTCTGAAGCAGTTTGTCTATAATGCTGGGGTTGCTTCTGTAGCACAGCTGTAAAAAACGTAAAACATAAGAAACTTAGACAAAAAAAACAATTATTTATATAATACATATATTTATATACAGCATATACACATAATGTCATTTTACTGTATTTATTATCGTCTTTATCAATAATGCGCACTCTTCAGCCGGTTATTGCAATCGCAGCTGTAGTTTCAACTGTGGGAGAACAAGTAAACACAGAGGAGTGAGACATCTCACTCTCTGACGATCTTTGGCAGTCCCCGTGTGTTTGTATCTCACAGCTGTTTGTACCTCACGGTCACGCTTTGGACACGGACTTTCAGACAATTGTAGTTTATCCTCCGTGCATCGCACAGACAAATCAAAACTACTTTCGGAAAGCCCTGAATATGTACTTCACAGAGGGAAAAAAAAGTAAGTTGCTACGTTTTACCGTTCGCGAGTAAATTGATCATTTGTAAAACATGTGCGCATGCATCGTCGCCGATGCAGACGGGTTCATAGGGTTAAATGTGGGTAACTAACTATCTGGTCAGTTTTTATACATTCTAAGATTATTGTACTAAGTGTAAAGTTTAAATTGAATGTTATATAAATGCTTGCTTTAAAAAGTTATTAAATTGTTAAAACACAATGTCCGTAATTCTTCATCAGACGTTTATGCTTCTTTCCAAGTAACATAGCAAAACTTATTTACACACATACTGCATATATATTTCAAATTTTATATTTAAATTAATTTTCCCGACGTTTTGGTGTGTACCGCAAAGAATTATGGGCAATATCCTTCGCCAGAGTGTGCATAGATGTAGGCTACGGCGAAGTGTGGATCAGGGGCGCAAAGGGGGCGGGGCCAAAGACCTCCCTGGAGAATTGGGACACCCTACGCACTCGCACCCTTTATCGGGAACGCGCAAATGAGGGGCGCGAGTATTGGAACGGGGCCTGTGTGTGTGTGTGAGAGTCCCTCTCTGATGACATCAATGTGTGTGTGTGCGTGTGTGTGTGTGAGTCCCTCTCTGATGACATCACTGTGTGTGTGTGTGTGTGTGTGTGTGTGTGTGTGTGTGAGAGAGTCCCTCTCTGATGACATCAATGTGTGTGTGTGTGTGTGCGTGTGTGTGTGTGAGTCCCTCTCTGATGACATCACTGTGTGTGTGTGTGTGTGTGCGTGTGTGTGTGTGAGAGTCCCTCTCTGATGACATCAATGTGTGTGTGTGTGTGTGTGCGTGTGTGTGTGTGAGTCCCTCTCTGATGACATCACTGTGTGTGTGTGTGTGTGTGTGTGTGTGTGTGTGTGTGTGAGAGTCCCTCTCTGATGACATCACTGTGTGTGTGTGTGTGTGAGAGTCCCTTTCTGATGACATCACTGTGTGTGTGTGAGAGTCCTTCTCTGATGACATCACTGTGTGTGTGTGTTTAGGTGTGAGTCCCTCTCTGATGACATCACTGTGTGTGTGTCTGTGAGAATCCCACTCTGATGACATCACTGTGTGTGTGAGAGTCCCTCTCTGATGACATCACCGTGTGTGTGTGAGAGAGTCCCTCTCGGATGACATCACTGTGTGTGTGTGTGTGTGTGTGAGAGAGTGTACACATAATATTTTCATATCGGTAGAAACTGACCAATCAGGAGTCTTTTTGGCGAAACAGGAAGAGACTAAACATTCCAACAGTGAAATGTCTGGACCCCGCAGCAGCTGCTAGTGTTGGCCCCGGGCCTCTGTGTACAGACTGACAGCACATGTTAGATACGTGTTATGTATGTGTTATTTATGTGTTATGTGAGCGTGAGAGAGGACCCGGACTCAACCACCAGCACATACACTCAAACATCCATCCATACACACACACATACACACACATACTCTTTCTATGTCTTCAGCACCAGGAGCTGGTGTGTGTGTGTGTGTGTGTGTGTGTGTGTCTGGATTGGGACATTCACACTTGTCTCCAACATTGAGCTGCTGCTTGTGTTTCTTCACAAACAAACGTCAACCTTTGGAGCTGACAGGAAAATGAAACTGAAGTAAATAAATGACTGTGATGAAGTACCTCCTGTCATAGACACCCGTAAAGACAGGACCGGCATAACACCAGGACGGGGTTCAGGCTCCTGGAGGTAGTATTTTATTTCTGTAGGAACAACGTTCTTAATGTTTTTCAATGCTGTAAAAATGTAATTATATTGAACTCGTAGATTTGCGTTACAGACTGCGACGCTCAGCGGACCGTCACGCTCAACGCGCAACGCCATACGTAGTGCCACATGAACCGCAACACGCACCGTCACACGTAGTGCCACGCGCACCGTCACACGTAGTGCCACGCGAACCGCAACACGCACCGCCACACGTAGTGCCACATGAACCGCAACACGCACCGCCACACGTAGTGCCACATGAACCGCAACACGCACCGCCACACGTAGTGCCACATGAACCGCAACACGCACCGCCACACGTAGTGCCACATGAACCGCAACACGCACCGCCACACGTAGTGCCACATGAACCGCAACACGCACCGCCACACGTAGTGCCACGCGAACCGCAACACGCACCGCCACACGTAGTGCCACATGAACCGCAACACGCACCGCCACACGTAGTGCCACGCGAACCGCAACACGCACCGCCACACGTAGTGCCACGCGCACCGTCACACGTAGTGTCACGCGCAACGCCACGTGCAGCTGATGCTGTTGTAAACGAACGCCGTGTGCTGAATAGATCTCTGAACAGAGAAAGGACTGAGGGTTGAAGGAAGAATGGACTGAAACATTTCAGATGCTACATGTTTGTGATGAGAAACTGTGGAAGAAAAGAACCATGTGGAGAGACATTTCCAGAGGTTTAATTTGCTGCTGACTCTTGTTTGAGACAAATGATTGCATTTGTTCTTGAATCTCCAAACTGTGTTCACACGTGACGCGTGTTTAAGCCATGGATCTATTTTATGTTTCCAATGTCGTCCATTGACAGAACGTGTTTTTGGGACAGTTTCTGTCACATTTGTCTACATTATCTTATCTTTTCATGGCTCTCAGCTTTTCACACACTTTCTAAACAAGGCTCCAGATGTTTGGCTGAGCTGTCCGTGGTGCTGAAGCCAGACTCATACTGTTTCATTAGAAAACCTCATTTTAATAAATTCTCACTTCCAGTTTACAGAGCTACAGATTCACAGTTAAAGCTCCACTCCGTAATTTTAAAACCACAGAAAAATTTAATAATATAATGAAATATAGTCTGTCACTTTCCCAGTATTCACATGCATGTATTGAACTCACATCTTTGAACAGCTGTTTTTGGTCTCTCTCTGGTCTCTCTCTGGTCTCTCTCTCTCTCTCTCTCTGGTCTCTCTCTCTCTCTGGTCTCTCTCTCTCTCTCTCTGGGCTCTCTCTCTGGTCTCTCTCTCTGGTCTCTCTCTCTCTCTCTCTCTGGTCTCTCTCTCTCTCTGGTCTCTCTCTCTCTCTCTCTGGGCTCTCTCTCTGGTCTCTCTCTCTGGTCTCTCTCTCTGGACTCTCTCTCTGGTCTCTCTCTCTCTCTCTCTGGGCTCTCTCTCTGGGCTCTCTCTCTCTGGTCTCTCTCTCTGGTCTCTCTCTGGTCTCTCTCTCTGGTCTCTCTCTCTGTTCTCTCTGGTCTCTCTCTGGTCTCTCTCTCTCTCTCTCTCTGGTCTCTCTCTCTCTGGTCTCTCTCTCTCTCTCTGGTCTCTCTCTCTGTTCTCTCTGGTCACTCTCTCTGGTCTCTCTCTGGTCTCTCTCTCTGGTCACTCTCTCTGGTCTCTCTCTGGTCACTCTCTCTGTTCTCTCTGGTCTCTCTCTCTGGTCTCTCTCTGGTCTCTCTCTCTGGTCTCTCTCTGGTCTCTCTCTGGTCTCTCTCTCTGGTCTCTCTCTCTGGTCTCTCTCTGGTCTCTCTCTCTGGTCTCTCTCTGGTCTCTCTCTCTGGTCACTCTCTCTGGTCTCTCTCTGGTCTCTCTCTGGTCTCTCTCTCTGGTCACTCTCTCTGGTCTCTCTCTGGTCACTCTCTCTGTTCTCTCTGGTCTCTCTCTCTGGTCTCTCTCTGGTCTCTCTCTCTGGTCTCTCTCTGGTCTCTCTCTGGTCTCTCTCTCTGGTCTCTCTCTCTGGTCTCTCTCTGGTCTCTCTCTCTGGTCTCTCTCTGGTCTCTCTCTCTGGTCACTCTCTCTGGTCTCTCTC